AGAATGAAAGGAATGAGACAATAGAAGGCGGGAACAAAGGGAGCAGAGTCGGTTCAGCTTAGCAAAATAAGCTCACTTTGTTGGTGGGGAAAGCCAAAGCCGATTAGGGCAAACCAATGACTAAGCGTAAGTCTTCCAAACTAATTACACAGTTCACCATGTGAAGTCTAATTGGAAGCCTCCAGATGCGGGCTGCTTTGCTGTCACAGGAGCTACATAAAGTGAGAGTCACCTCCAGAGCTGGGCACCAAGCGGCCCTGTCACTGGACGGGCAGCTGAGAGGTGCAGGACGGCTCCATCTGGGACGCCGCCGAGAACGCGTTTCATGTACAGGCCCCTTTTTGACCTCCGAAATCCTATAAGTGAGAGTTAAAGAACCGTACTTGAAGGAGGGGCCCAAGGGGGGAAGGAAGAAGCCCATGCACAGGGACTTTCTTTGATCCCAGACCTGTTAATTGCCAAGCTGGGTTCTTGGGGATGGCTGGTGGGGAGAGCCGGGGGGACAGGCCGATGGGTTGTCAGGCCTGTGTGGGCACCTCCAGAGCGTCACTTCCACGCCATTTTTTGGAACGGTCTGTACACATCATTCCCGTGTGCATGAAATCACGAGCACAGACAATGTCCACTGGGAAATGAGGCGGTGAAATGAGTTACTATACGTAACAGTCCCGACAGATGGACAAAACCTGCCCGCTCGGAGGACGGGGCTGCGTGGTGTAAAGTGGGAGGTGAGGTCCAGTGAACAGCAAAGAGAGGTGAGGACCAGACTGTGCAAAAATGAGTGACTGTCCGGGCTCTACCTACTGTGGGCTGTGTGGGCTCAGACAACTTACTGACCTTTCTCAACATCCGTTTTGTCACCGACATGGCAGATGTTCAACCTATTTTGCCTGACAGCCTTAAGGATCAGACTTTAAAATGCATTAAAAAGCTTAGCACAAAGCACAGATACCGCTAATTCAGAAACATAAACTCAAAGAATTTTCATAGTGAAGTCTGAACGTCACACATTCTGAGTCTTCATTAATTTAGATCTAACACACGTAATCGGGAGTTGGAAACACGCTACGGCTTTGCTGGATCTTACTCATAGGATGAAGATTCCAGTTTGCAAACAGCAGCTGCTTCCACACAGAGAATCCTCACGGTCCCTGCATCTTAAGTCCAGAAATGAAGTCTACGACAGTTATGATGTTTTGCTTACTATAGCATGGTCATTACTGTTGATAACACCTTGTTTTGGTTACAGTCTATAGATAACTTTGATATCCATCTGCTCACCTATGTGTGCATGTTTAAACACTTTCTAAATTACTGAATTTTCAAGCTTGAAACCAAGCCTCGGAATACTCTGGTCCATAGGCTGGCCAGTCATGGCCCACAGGCCAAATGTGGCCCACCACCTGTATTTGTAAATAAAGTTTTATTGAAACACAGCCACACCCACTTGTTTGCTATGGCTGTTCCTCCACACAACAGCAGAAGTGAGTAGCTGTGACAGAGGCAATCTGCTCTGCAGAGCCAAAAATGTTTACTCTCTGACCTGCATGGCTCTTTCAATCTCTCCCCTCAGAGGAGAAACTGAGGCCAGGAAAGAAATGGCCTGTTAAGATATCACAGTGGGGTCAGACCCAGCATGGGGGCTTGGAGTAATGTCTGCTTTACCTCTGTCCAATGCCCACACCAGAACAGCTACCCAGAGGGTGGGCATGGCCATACAAGTCAGCCGAGATCTTACGCCAATGGCCACACTTCATAACCTCATCTTAAATATAGACAGTAATGACACCCCTAACCTGGGGTGGTTGCCGGGGCTAAATCTCCTGGGAGAAAGGGAGGAGAAGAGCACAGAAGGGTTTACAGGCCTCCAATCTGAGTTATTTCAAGCTCTCGGGTGTCATTCCGCACCCACTCCACTTACAGCGATGACATATTTCAAGTCCCTTCGCTCGGTCCCACGACAGCGGTCCTACCCATCTTGACTGCCACCTGAAGTGAACAGCTGAAGCAGCTGCCCCCTTAGGCAAGAAGGGAAGAGCAGAGGAGAGAGGAGTGACAGCCAGGGGAGCCCGAGGAGGTAGCAAACCTGCACGGAGACCGCAGGAGGATGGAAGGTCTAGACGCAGGAAGGAGTGCGGTGTGAATTCTGGCTGTTACACTGCCTCGCCTGGGTGAGCTTGGCTCAGACCTAACCTCCCTGACCCTTAGTGTCCACCTTCATCAAAGGGGCTGATGACACCAAAGTCCACTGTGCAGATGGAAGAAGGCAGTGTATGTGTGGGTGCCCAGCACTGCCCAGGGCACATGAGGGGGCACAGTCTTTCCCCTCCTCGGCATCCTTCCCTCCCTACGTCCATCCGGTGGTTCTAATATCAGGCCAGCCTGGAGGGGGGTCTGTACCCCACTCTGTCTTTCAGGCGACTGTGACCTTGCTTCAAACACTTAACGATTCTACAAACTGGGTAGTAGCCCCACCAGTCACCCAGAGAAGAAATAAATGATGTAACATAAGTCAATGGCTTGAGTCAGTATCCAACACTTAGTACTCTCTGGCTAAATAACAAAATTACACCTCACTAATTTGCAGTGAACCAACTGAAAAGAGCCCCAAACAACTTGACAGAGTCAGGAATGTGTGAGTCTACTTCATGCATGCGCGTGTGTGTGTGTGTGTGTGTGTGTGTCCTGTTTCCTTCACCCGGAACATAAACTACTGAAGGGTAGAGTCAGTGTGTCAATTTATCTGTTACCCCTTTTAAGGCTGCTGGATTTACTCTTTGCCTCTCAGGCCCAGAAGCAGAGTCTCCCCTCCTTTGATCATTCTGGATTCAACTGAATTATGCCAGAATCCTGAGAGGTGATGGGCCCTGCCCAAGGGGACACAAACTAACAGCAGCCACCAGCCAGCAGAGAAATAAGCTATTCTGAAGACAGACCCAGATAATACACAGAGCATATGTATGAAACTCGCTACTAAAACATGAGCACACAGTGTTACGGTTCTGATGCATTCGAACGTCTCCCTGATCCTTTAATGAAACACTTGATAGTTTACCCATCCTGCTGGAATCCACAAATGTTACCGCAACATTAAGTGAGCGGCTTCAGACCTGGTGAGGGCCAGGGAATGGCCTGTGACCGGCTCCCAGACAAGGGACAAGTGTCTCAGAGCAGTGCTGGTTGCTGCCCTGGGCCCAGCCAAAGCTGACAGAGCCTCCCACTGCTGGTGTACCAGGTCACAACTGTGAGTGCTAATGAGAAATGACGGAAAGACAGAGAGAGAACCCAAGAGGAGGGAACGCGCAGAGGTGTGGCAAGTACAGGCCTGTCTGGAATATGCTAAGAGCCCCTCTGGGCAGCGTCAACTTCCCTGACACCACAAATAGGCCCGTGAGATTCCAAGGCAGGTTACGGCTCGAAAGCAATCCCACCTCGTGTTTGCAAACACCACCCCAGCCTGTTCTGAAGGTGGGACAGTAGGTAGCAAAGGCTCGCAGCACTCCAGAGCCTTCCATTATGCGAGCGGACTTGTCTCTTTTAATTATTTCCAATCTCTCTCCCTGGGCAGGGTGGGGCTGGGCGAGGCATACACCCCCTTTGGTGCTCTGAATCGTCTCGGGGAGTCCCGGGGAGTAAGATAGCGCCCAGGATCACGGACGCGCTCGGCTGTTCTTCAGAGCCAGCCCGAGTGCGCCAGCCCCCGCGGGCAGTGCAGACAGCACCTCGGGGAAGGCGCCTTTCATGCCGACCCGGAGGGGCAGCGAAGTGCCGTTCTGAATGCAAGGCTGGGCTGGAGGAGGCTGGTTTCTCTTTGTTGCATGTTCTCCCATCCATGAAGAAACTGATTAATACCAGAGACAAAAAAACACCCTCCATTCTGAGGCTAAATAGAGGTCAGGGCACGCTTCCCAGACAGCAGCTCACAACTGGACACACCTGGGAACAGGGTCACCCCTGCCCATCGCCTTGGGCAAATGAATTAAGCATAGAACCTTCCGACTGGGCAGTGGGCGCAGTGCCTTTGTGCCGCTCGAGACAAGTTTGACAGCAGGCGGGGGGTGGGGGGAAGGTGCAGGGTCTCCCCCCCAGGACGCAGCCCTCTGCATGTCAGCCCCTCAGCGGGGGCTGGGGAGAGGAGGGAACACAGGCCTGTGCAGAAGGAGCTGTCTCACACCTGGCTCCTAGGACAATGCCCACAACTACTCAAAGATACAGGAACCAGAAAGCTCAGACGCTCACCTGCCAGCCTCCTGGGACACAGGAGCTACAGGGGTCAGCCTGTTGGGGCCCAGAGAGCACAGTCATCTAAGGAGCGTGTCCTCCTCAGGAAGAACCCATCTCCCAGGCCCAGCTCCCCAGACTAGACAGAGGCTGGATTACACACAGCACCCGTGGTTATGCATCCTGTCTGTCTGTGTGACTCTGTCTGTCTGGCAAACACACTCTCACACTCCATTTCCTGACTGATTTGGGGCATTCAGAGTTGCTCCCAGCCTGTTCCAGCAGCAGAGCCCAAGGGATGATTTCACTGCTCTCTCACAGACATTCTGACAGGTACAGGCCCAGCATCCTCCCCAAGTTTCCTGGGGCATTTGACAGGGGAGGGCTGAGCTGCAAAGGACCCCAGGGGGCCTCCTCTCTCAACCCATTATCCAGAAAGGCGCGAATGAAGCCCAGCGCCAGAGCTCCGGCCCTGTGACTGTCCCGCATCCCTCCGCAGCTTCTGCCACCGCCAGCCCCCAGCCCAGGCCCCGCGTGGCCAGCAAACACCAGCACCGCCACGCTCAAAGGCCATTCTGTCTGCTCCTGCAGGCCCGTGGAGCACCATGCCAACCACAAGCCAGGCTCTTCCATCTCTGCTCCTGCTGAATTTCATGTAATCTTGTCGGCCAAGTTCAAGGGCACGGTTCTCGAGGACGCAGCTGTGGCAAAGGCAGGGGCCACGGCAGCCACTTCTGAGGGCTGACTGGGCACGTCTCGCCGCCCCACGTAGCGCTTACCTTGCCAAACTGCTCGAAGTACTGCTTTACGTCTTCCACCACCGTGTTCGCAGATAACCCGCCTACGAATATTTTCTTTGTTCTTGTGACCATCTGCAAGAAATGACAAGAGGCGACATGGTTAACCAGGTTGTCTGGGGCAACGCTTGCCGAGATGCTGAGACAAGCTGCTCTCCAGTGCTCTAGGAGGGCCACCCTAGACGAACTGGGGCTGCACGGCGGCCGCAGGTGTCTCGGGACACTGGAGACACTCACTCTGCAGATTTTTCAGGCCGCAACGTAAGGCTCAAGTTTCCTACAGACCAGAGTGGACACCAGAGCCCCCCGGCCATAATGCACAGCTTCACTGTGACATACTGACAAAGAGAAAAGTCACAGGTCAAAGCTATTTAAACCTAAGAGACGTGAACAAAACAGAACTAAGGGTACAAAAATCTGCTGCCCAGGGAGTCCCATAAAATCTGTCAGTAAGAAAATCACGCGTAATTCTGTGTGGACTATCTACGCTGAGCTGTTCCGGGTGATGGTATATGTCAGCCAGCGAGACAGACACTGGCCTCACACACAAAAACCCCCTCCGAGCTGAGTCCCCGCAATATCACAAATGTCTATTATAATGCGATACAAGATACCGAAGTGCGGGGGTCACGGCTGCCCGGATCGCTGTCATCACCAAGCCTCCTAACAACTTTGCCCAGAGAAAGAGCCAACCCAGCCGCCTCCAACCAGAGAGGCGCGCCGAGTGCCATGGAGGTGCAGTGGTTCGGGAAGGCTGGCTGCGGACTGGAAGGGGCACTAGACCCCTGCTTCTGTGTCTGTCTGGGTATGGCCCTGGACAGGCTCCACCCTGAGGGCTGGGTTCTGCCCTCTGCACAGTGAAGCCTGCACCGGCGCTCCAGGTCCCTCCTAACCCTGACTCTCGCGAATCTACCAGCGTGATGGCCACGACAGAGGCGGCTGCCAGGCTTCAAGGAGTTCACGCTTTGGCTGAGCGGCTCCCAGAGGGGACGTGTGCCACCGCAGCCTGCTGAGCCCAAACTGGAATATCCTTGGAAAATAATGGGCTTCCTGCACTATTTTAAGAGGACACTGCCTGGCGACTTCCTGTTGGCTGTGAAAGCCACGCAGTGGTTTGTACTTGTGTTCAAAGCTGTGATTTACTGTTTTCATCTCTTTCAGACGAATGGGAGGGTAGACGAGATCATGCTCGTGAGGACAGGCTACGAAGATCCCACCAATGTCCACACCGCCCACCTAGCTCCAGGAACCTCTCGCAAGTGCTGGGCATCTTATTCTGCCCTTTATTGTCCATCTCCTTTCTTATCCATTCCTTAAGTCTCCCTGGTGGATCAAGGTCACCTTTGTGATGAAGCTCCAGCAGGCCCTCTCCAGAATTTGGGGGGGGGGGGGTAGTCCTCACCCCAGGATATATTTCTTTTTCCATTGATTTTTAGAGAGAGTGGAAAGAGAGAGGGTGGGGGAGAGAGACAGAGAGAGAAACATTGATGTGAAAGAGACACACTGATTGGTGGCCTCCTGCATGAGCCTTGACCAGGGCCTGGGACGGAATCTGCGACCCTTTGGTGCTCGGGCCGATGTGCTAACTGCTGAGCCACACTAACCAGAGCAGGCCCCCCCCCCAGATTTAAATCTCTCCCTACACTCACTAATTGCCAAAGTTTACTAATCTAACTTTTCTAACGTATTCATTCAACAGACATATTAAGTGCTAGGTGCTGGACCTTACATTCTAATTTAATATGAAATTTAATCCACTATAAAAATGGAGATAAAATAATTCTCCTACCACACAAGGTTCCTGTTAGGAATAAATTACATAACATATGCCAAAGTGCCTAGTGGTACACTAGGTAGATGCTAAACAAATGGTCACTGTAACTGAATCCTAACTCAGTTGCTAACTGTATCGGTCCAGCTCAGAATAAATGTGCTGCAGGAGGACACCTTATACAGAACCCTCCGCCAGCCTGCCCGCACGGCCCTCTTCTCGTCCATCATCTCAAAAGCACGTCCGTGCACCTCCACGTGATTTCAGGAGGGCAAAGACTCCCAACAGTTTCATTTCAGATTTTTCATTCCTTTTTTTATCCTAGCCAACTAATTAAACACCTATAAAGAAACACTAACGTGATCTATGAACACGCACAGTGGAGTGTTCAACCCAAGGAAACTCCGGGGAGGCCTGTGGTCTCACTTACATGGTGTAGAGCCAGCTGGATATCGAGCCTCCCGTATATTCTAGATGTCCACATGGACCCAGGAAGCTACGCAACCAGCGTGTCTTCGTTCCCGGTACCAGAATCAACAGACTGTCCATGCCCCAGTAACTGGTTAAACAGAGAGGTCCCCTCACACCCTGCATTGTTGCCTCAGCTGTAAACTTGACAAGACATGGAGCCCTAAACACTGGGGCGGACACCCAGTATAAATCTACACAGTCCTAAAAAAGTATTTAAAACACTATTTTTAAAAAAAAGAATGAGAAATCCCAGGCCCCAGACAATGAGCCAAAGTGTCCAAGTTACTAAAACATCCTCTCCAGGAACGAGCTCTGATACAGTGATGGATCCCAGTCTGCAGCAAACACCGAGAGGAAACAAGTTTAATCAAAGCCTCCTGAACGTGAAAGGCCAGTGGGAAGATGTGCAACACTTGGTTAGCTGCTCACCGACGTCTGGGCTGCAGAAGAGGGGAACAGGCTGGGGGCAATGGGGCTCTTCGAAGTGACCTGTCTGGCCCGGGGCGCACCAGGGGGAACGGGAGTGATTTACTTTGAGAACCCTGGCGACACCACTGCTCAATGGACTGTGCACTGTTTGAGGATTTGCATTCTGCAGAGGGACTCGGGAAGCAGACAGAGGACTCTAGAATCACACATTCTCCCTCCATCCCCCTTGCATCTCCACGGCTGCGGAGGAGGGCCGGGCATCCGGGCACAGGGCTGGGATGCTGTGTCCAGGCGCTCAGGGGGACTAAACCGAGGTCCTCAAATTCTCATCAGTGTTATCCAACTTTCTGTGTATGTGCATGCATATGTATTTGTGTGTTTGGGGGTAACACTCTATTCCCAATGCTTCAGTCTTGGCTTCCATTTGCCCCAGGAGCCATCTGGCACCCCCAGAACTTCAACCCTCTTCTGGCCTTGGACCAGTGAGTAAAACCAGTTACCCACTGGCCCCTGGCTCTAGGTCTTCGCAACATAACAAACCTCCGCACCCACAGTGCAGACAGAGCCACCTGTGCTTTCTTCCTGTGTGAGGCCGTCGGGTAACTGTTTCCGAACCCACAGCCTTCACACCAACGCGGCACTTAACCACACAGGATGGGGGGAGCAGCCACTGCACACCCTGCCTGCTCAGCCGGCCTACTGGGCCCCCGAGGTGCACCTGGATGGAAAGAGCCACCCATCTGTTCCACAGAGAGCACTCAGCCCAAAATCCATTAGGGAGCTGATCTTCCATTTCCTTTGTTTGGAGTTCTCGGTGGAGGGGTTGCAGAAAACACCTTGGTATGCGAATGCTTCCCACTCTCAGAGACACTAGATACCCCCCCAGTGCCCCGCACCCCTGGGGACAGCAGCCCCTCCCTCAACAGATGCCCTCCTTCTGTAGCTGAGGGCAGCACTGTGGGAAGTGGTGCGTGCATGTGTGTGTGCGTGTGCGTGTGTGTGTGTCACACGCAGGGGAGTGAGGAGTGTTCAGACAGTCATAACTCAGTGCTGCAGTCTTGCATCTAGACCTGTAATTTAACTAAACATCACTGCTCTCCACAAACCTCTTGGCTCCACAAAGAAAACCCCAGCACGATTCCAGTTCGGAAAATTGCTGTTTACACGTAAGAACTGGCCAAAGCCAGCTGCTAACTGGAGCTGCAAAGAACACTCCACCTTCCTGCCTCTGACCAGAGAGCTGGCTTTTTTTTTAAAGTTTCATAAAGTCCCTTTTAAAAACTGTGTTGCCATCTGAAATGGTCACTCTGAGTGAGGACGCTGGTCGCATTTTTATAAACTAGGATAAAGCAGGTAGGGGTGTGTGTGTGTGCGCACATGTACGCAAATCAGAGGGGGGGTAGTGAAAAGAGAAATTACACTTGACAATGAGATTGAAGGAGAAAACTTAGTTCCAACAATAGCACTGACCCAAAAATATTAGTAGTCACCTAAGAAACCAGCAGCAAATGTTTCTCAATCTTGACAAGCGCGTGGAAGGGCGGGGAATGGCTGTGAGAGGCTCGAGAAAGCACGTCGGCTGTTGCCATTGTCACGTTTCTGAAGAGAGTTCAAATCCCCCTGAAACAAGTGACCACGTTCACGGCCCAGGAACGCAGGCCCATTCACTGGTGCTCTCATCCGCGGAAACCCGAGGTGAGGGAACCAGGAAAGAAGTTAGAATTCTGGCGCCGGACGGGCTCGGCTGTGCACCATCCCCAAGACGCAGATGCAAAAACAAATCCCAGTGGGACGACTCAGGTGATAGCTGAAGCCGACGCAGGTGGCAAGGCTGATGAGTTGGCAGATACCACGTGACTGCACCCCAGATTCTGGAGTTGGTGAGCACCTGGCTGTCACGTGTCACTCTGCACTGGCTATGTCACCCAGTCCCTGTGTGGCAAAGAAGCTCCACTGACCGCGGCCACTGCAGCCCTGCACTCCAAGGCCCCTTCCCTAGGGTGCTTCTTCCCAGGAGCCTGAGCCCTGAAGTCCCTAAGTTCTCCCAGAGCCTCGACGCCCTTCTCTCCTCCCCTAAGCCACCGCCATCACCACCGTCACGTCTGACTCCAGCATCAAAACTCACTGAGCGAGCAAAATCCAAACACAGGTCAGGTATGGGGATCTTCTCCAAATGTCTCCACAATCACAGGTGGAAAGGAACTGTGGTGGGTTGATGACAGTTCCTGCCAAAATCCGTGTCCACCTGGAACCTCAGAATGTGATCGTATCTAAAAATAGGGTCCTCCCTGGTAAAATCCAAGACTGAGAAAGGCCCTCGTCCCCAGCAAAAGCCCTGGTCCCTGTGTCTAAAGAGCATGGGGTTTCTTTTGGAGGTGAAGAAAACACTGTAAAACTGGTGATG